TAAAAAAATAAAAAAAAATAAAAAATTAATTTATTTGAGAGAGAGGGAGAGAGCATGCATGCACACACATGCGCTAAAAGGAGGGACAGAGGGAAAGAATCTCAAGCAGACTCCCTGCTGAGTGGGGAGCTGGATGCGGGGCTTGATCTCAGGACCCTGAGATTGTAACCTGAGCCAAAATCAAGAGTCCACTGCTTAACTGACTGGGCTACCCAGGTGCCCTGTATGATTTTTCAAATACATGATTATTTTTAATACTCAATGGACTCTTTCAAAATAATACCTACAATTGTGACAAACATCCACAGTAAGATGTTAATGATAAGGAGAACTGTACGTGTGTGTGTGTGCGTGCGCATGGGGGGTATATAGGAACTCTATCATCTTTGTAATTTTTCTGTAAATATAAATCTATTCTAAGATGAAAGATTTATTTTTATTTAAAAAACACAGAGATTCTGATGTGAATCCCTAGCCCCATCCTTACTCTCAAACTCAATTGCATCTGAGAATTAGTGATACATATCCTTGTAAATAGTGGTCAAGTTCTCTGGTATAGTTCTGGAGCATTTTCCCCTTGAAGTGACAGTATTTATGGGGTAGCATTTAAGTTAGACCTGGCATCAATTTCTGGTCCTGCCACAGTCTAGTTACATGGTTTGACCTGGTTAACTAATCTTTCTGAATCTTGTTACCTAATAATTAAATGAAGATAATAATACTTGAGGGTTAAATAAGCTAATATATGTAAAGCAGGTAGCACAGTGCCTACCATGAAATAAAATGATAATTGTTAACACTGTCATTCATACTGTCTCATCTGGAAATTAAAAATATAGTTAACACTATCGTCATCTTGTTCAAATTATCTGATCTTGTACATGTGCATATTATGGCTAGCTTTGCTGAATCAAGATACAAAGATTCCCTCTCCCCTCTCAGCTTAGATAATGAAAAAGGACTCCAAGGATTCTACTATCAGATAAGTCGAGAGAAAAGCATGAGCGTGAACAGAAAACCCTTTACTTCCATGCAAGTTATTTAGGACTCTAATATTTTTCTCATCTGTAAAAGTCATGACAAAATAATAGCTGCCCCAGTCCCCTAGTATTTTGGTGAAGATCACATGAAACAATGTTTGAGTCTTCATAAAACTGCCTTAAAATTTTGAAGTCATTAATATATTTAATACCAACTACACCTAATACTCATTATTTGTTATTAAAGGATCTTTATCTTTTCCAACTGATCATTTCTTTCTGTTTCTTTTTCCTCACTAATTACAAACAATGGGCTTAGCAATTTTTTATAGAATTTTGTTGGAGAATCATTGCAAGCTCATAATTCTAGGGCTTTTATAATATGCAATCTCCTTTCAAAAAATATTACAAATTTTGCTGAACTTTAGTTTTATAACACCTCCTTTTATTCCAATATCCCTCCTTTTATTCTAATACCTCACACACACTAATGCCACGTGTGCAGATTTTCTCATTTTGCAGATATGTAACTGAACAAGATTAGGTGCCTGCAATTCGCCTGAGTTATTCAGTTATTCAGTTCAGAAGTTATAATCCACTTCGACGTATGTACTTCTTAAAGTATGCTTGTTCTTTTTCTCTGTGATGCACAGAAAGATTACTCCTGTGAGGTAAGGTAGATTTGAATTTGCAACCAGCGTGGTTCACAAATAATTGAAAAGGAAGAAAACAACATCACCATTGTAGGGATGGCATGGAGGTTAAATATTATTTTGGTGATAGCATTAGATAACATTTACTGAATCTATACTTTTTAAGTTATTTACATACATAATTTAGGTAAATGTAAAGTATGAAGTAGTGCTCAGTGAGATTATTTGCTATCCATTTGCCAACATTCTAATTTTGAGAGCTTCCTCTCCTTGCATTTTTTTGTCTTACCTTCTCTCTGACTCATTTTTTTTCTCCTTTTCCTTTGCCTATTTATGAAATCTGTAGTTCTAAACCCTACTTCCACCCCAGATTTTTCTTTTTGGGAAAACTGAAAAATTCTTACTTTTAGAGTTTCTCAAACTTCCGTTCTAACAGCAACTCTTCCTATAGAGATTTAGGCCCCAACTGACATTTTTCTGAGCCTTCTTAAATTTACTAATTGATTTTAAATTTATTTTTAAATTAAGTTGTAGAGACCTTTACAAAAACATTGACAGGTATAAAATTTTAGTGAGGTCATGATAGGCAGAATCCTTATAATAAGGTACATAAATATACGAAAATAGAAAGTTGTGTTTTTCTTTAAAAGAAAAGAGTAGAATGGTTTTATAGAAAGATTCTCAAGAGCACTGGAAAAAGGCATAAATCCCTCACATCCCCTTACAACAGATGATTGCTTTGAATTACTTAAACAGGCTTGGTACTTAAAAGCCCAATCTATGTTACATATTTTAACTTTTGCTGACATTAAGTGTATATTGATGTCAGAGGAAATTGGATACATGCAAGCCCACAGGATTGAGTCACAAATGTCAATAAAATTTGCACAATTACTCACATCATGATAAACCTATGCTCCATTGGGCTCTTTTATAATCACTCTAAACAAGAGAAATCTTTTTTTTTTTTTTCCAGGAATAAGTCACTCATTTCTATGGCATTCTAACTTTCCTTTCAACCTTACTTTATAATCAATGTATGTTGACATGCAAAATCTTTGTTAAAAAAAAATCTTTCTTCTTGCTAGTTAAAAAAAGCATTCATCTCATCCTTGTGATCTTTTTCCTTATAAAACTGAAGATTCAAGATATCTTTCTTTTTAAAAAAATGTACTTAGAATACATAGAACTCTGTCCTTAAAGACATGAAAAAGGGGAAACACATACACCCATACCATGGGGTACACTGTTAATGTTTAATCTTGTAAATCTTCCCTTTGTACATATAGTTCATACTCTTCTGCCATAAGGAAATATCACAATTGAGCTATGACTAGATACAGAGGTTATCTGTTGTGTAACTGATTCATATAAAATTTTGTTTCAATCTACCTAAAACTGTCTATCTTGTGTAAGAAAAAATGCACCTTATTTTCTAGAAGATTATATTCTCGTAATGAACAACACTGGCCTCTGCTGGTAACCAAGGTCACGATGAACAGACGTCCACCTTTTCTAGACCGTTGAAGGTGCTGCCTTTATCCAGGTAGATCCACATTCTCTTGAGATCGTTGTTGTTCATTTGTTGATGATAACTGAGCCATAAATTTATGAGGCTCCAAGCATGAAAATCTCGAGATCTAACTATGGGCTTAAATGGACCCAAACTGTAGCTCTGGAACTTGTCATTTCTTCTGGTCAAATACATTTAAACACTTGTGCTTCAATATCATAATCTTAAAATGATCTTCTCTTTCAATAAGACACTGAGAGTTGATGAAATTTAACTAAATTTTTAAGGGTAATAACTGTGTACAGAATACAAACACATTCCTTTAAGTTTATTTGCTTTACCTCCCGGTGTGCATCACCTGATTCATAAAATACAACTGAAATTACTTGAATACATGGGAAGCCAACCTTGATTTTCATAGAACTATAAATCTTCTACTCAGAAAATACTGTGTATCCATGTGAAGGTTACTGCCCAGAATTTTATGCAAATTTTTTGGATTTGTTCACCAATAATTTTGCAAACCAAACCACAATAATATTTGTAGTTTAATAATGTTGAGATTATTTTCTTTCACCATGCAAATATAAAATTAATTTGCTAATGTATGCTAAAAACAGCAAACTATAAGGTGACAAATTTATCCCAATTGACTGAACAAGCTAACCAATTGTCAATACAAGACAAGCCTCCTCCTGCTATTGCCTCTGATGGATGTTAGCCTACTCCGTGGGAACAATTTCTAGAACACACAGGCTGTCCTTTCTAATGTTGTCCGATAGTCAACACCACTCAAGATCTCCCAGAAGTTCCCATCAAAGAACCTGGAACATATTTAAAAGAAAAACTGAGGCCAACATAGGCTAAAATACTTGCCTATATTATCAGAGGAGTGAAGCAACAGAGATATATAAAGATTTACTCTTACATGCTTCCAAAGGGACTTGGATTATTGTACAGTATAGGGTACCACAGGAGGAAATGCCAATACAGAAGGAGCTCATTAATATGGAATTTAACTTGGGGAGTTAAAGTTTATTACACAAAGACACGAAGCATTTTATCAAAACCAGTAAAAGGAGAATACAATCCATTGTCATCAAAAGCTCATGTCCCTGTCATAGGAACATGTCTATGTAGAAATACACAAATGATAGTCACTCCTGAGCTCAAACATATTTGAAACAGTGACCATGCAGATCTCACGAGTCAGTGAATAGTTTCTAAAATACTGATATTTCACATGCAGTAATTAGTAGCTGTTGCTTCTTCTTTTCCTACCTGCCTCCTTTTTTTTTTCCCCCTATCTTCATCCTTTTTTCCCCATCAAGTATGTTTAAATCAAGGAGTTCCAGTGGAAATCACTTTTACTACATTTTTGAGAATCATACACTTAAGCTGTATAAATTCTAACCTCTGCCTGAAAATATAGACACCATTTTAGGGAAGAATAAATACATCTTGTACACAAGTTGCCTTTCTGAAATACTTTCTTTTTCAATCCCCAAATACCTTTCTTGTCAAGATAGTGTAGCAGTGTTTGGAAAGCGTTAGCACACCAACAGATGCTCAGAATCAAATGACTTAATAGGCATAAACTTTTTTTTCAAATAATTGCAAAGCTTTGGGTTAGCCTTTTGCATACCTTGCATAGTTAATTACCTAGGCCTTAATGTTTACATGTAATGAGAGTATCTACAGCTATAAACTACATAATTTATAATTGATGTAAATGGGTGTTATTATGTCAATTAGGCAGCTGTGTCCTACACCTCTTGGTAAACAGCTTTGAGTGATAAACTGAGTTTGCAGAGAGGTACCTTCTTTTCTTCATAACAGATAAAAATAAATTACCTAGGTAGACCAGGTTGTCCAATTGTTCTCTGGTGAGGTGCATGGGAAATCCAGACCCTTTCTTTTGACCTGTTGACTGCAGCAAATGGTCAATTTCGTCACGCAGCACTGCCATAGCTTCTGGGTGCTGTAGGAGGTAATACATCGCCCAGAACATAGTTGGAATAGTGTTTGTCACAGAAGCCCAGAGAAAGCCTAAATGATGTGCTGGGAGAAAATAAGTGAAAAGGAAGATTAATAGCGTTTATTACACTGATTAGATTTGCAGTGTGCTAATTAAAAGATGTTAGGACACAGACCCAGCCAAGGATCAGTGCATGCTAATGAGGACCAATAGGCTTCTGAAGTCTAATTTTCTGCTTAATGAGAATAGTTTAAAATGTAATGTGCGCGTGGGGGGTGGGGAGGTGGGGGATGAGATAAGAGGAGTAAATGCAGCTTAGTTATACTCTTTCTCATTATCCCCATTAAGTATCTTGTTTTACCACCTCAGCAAAAAAAAAAAAAAAAAAAAAAGAAAAAGAAAAAGAAAGAAAGAAAGAAAAGAGGAAAAAAATCAATTATCACAGACGGTTGTTTCAGAGTAAAACATTTTATCATTAGCCAATTAGAAAGAGCATAAAAATTTTCAAGGTCACCATTTTCTCTTTTTATTTCAAAGGTCTATTGTAAATTATTTTATTTTAGACAAGGAATCATTCAGAATTTTCTTACCTCCTACTTCAAAGTCCTCAAGCGTATAGTATTTCTCCAGGACATCTTGCCTCATTTGAACAATTTCTGACCATCCTTGTGTCTTACCTAAGTGTTCTGATGCCAAGTGTTTAATAAGTTTCTTTCTAATAGACTTGATATTTCCTAGAAGCTCTATAGGTATATCTGATATTAAATATGGGAATTTGTCATCGAATTTTAAGAAATTATCTCTTAGCTCAGTAATAAATTTTTCTCCATTGCCAGCAAGAGATTTTCCATATATGGTTTTAAGCGTGATCTCAAATATAATTGAGCTGCAAAATGTCAACAGGTGTGCCATGTCCCAATTTGTGGTTTTTAATAGATGGAGTTCAAAAACTTGTTTTAAATTCTGCATCATGGTTTCTGTGAGTACATCCAAAGACTTCCCTTGTAAAAGATGATAGCAGCCATGGAGGTCATTACTCAGGTCATCAGTGGTTTCCAACTTTTTGATGGAAAATACTTTCCTTGATAGTTTATTACTGAATATTCGAAAGCTTAATTTGTGAGTTTTCATTATTAACTGGTACTGAAAAGGGTCCAGGATAAATGTTATATACTTTCCTAAAAGAAATAAATGAGAATATGAGCTCAGTTGGTAGCAAGATAAACAAAATCCTGAAATTTGAAAATATTTTAATAAAAATTACAAAGACCTTAAAAACTAACATCTAGAAATGTGCAAAGTTTAATAAAATCCATTTTTGTTCAAAGATTCCTTACATGTTTCCTTTAAAAACAGAAGATAATGGGAAAAATTAAATTCTGAATGACTTTTAAAAAGATACTCTTATTTTAACTAAATACCCAAATATTTAAACTACCCTTAAAATATCCTCAGAACCATTTGACTTGAACATTTCTCATATTTTCCCTAATAATACAAACAGAAAACAAACATCAAACAAACAAATCAAATTATTATTTACACTTCATAAAGAACCCTTTCATACTTGACATCATCTTAGCTTTGATTGGATACAATTTTAACTCAGACAAGTAACTATGTGGAATGAAGCAGGTACTCATAAGTTAATGTTTAGTGTGACATTAATACCAAATCACAAATGCCAGCATTTTCTTTTTTATAGATGAGAAAACAGTGGTTCATGGAGATTTAGTAACATGTCCAAGGTTACCTACTGATTTGTGACTAAAACAGCATTCCAAACTAGAACCTGTCCATTCATGCATTCACCCCTACATTCAACATTTATTGAGATTCAGATACTTGTTTGGTTCTCTTTCCTTTTAAAATAAAAAAATGTAAAGAAATCATTGTATCATCATGGATGGTGTTATAGCAGAGGTGTGAACACAATGTAAGGGAACCAGAAAGTGAAATCTGCTTTGGTCTGCCTGGAGTTCCCCATCTGCAAGTGTTCTTTGAGGTGATGACATTTGAAGTCTTTTCATAGCTCAGTGTTGTCCAAATTTACCCAATTAAAAGACTAAAGGTGCTGGTAAAAAATACACATTCCTGCCTGATTCTGATTCATAAGGTTTAAATGTGGCCCCTACAAGTCTCCATTTTTAACAGGGGCCTCAAGTGATTAAAGGCAGCATACTGAGGAACATAGTCAACACTATGGTGGGTAGGGCCCACAAAACTGGCAAAACTGGTAGGAGTTCTCAGCTCTCCCCTGCCCCTCTCCTCCCAATGCCATGCACTTTACATTTACCAGTAGAAAAAGCTAAACAAAGTCAAAGAGAGGTTAAAGGGCCAAGATCACATTGCCATTCTTAGTAGCAGAGCCTGGACAAGGAGTCACTGCCCATGCATTGTTCTTTTCCTTACCCAATGTTGACTTCTTTTCACTGGAGTGCTGCTTAAAGACTCCCAATTAGAAGTGTTACGCAAATATATTTAATAATGCCATTTAATAAATCCTTCTTGTTTTCCAAGAACACACATCACATGAAGTTTAGATGATCCTACAAATGCTAATACCTTTTTACTGCCTTCTAGAAAACAATTAATGGACATTAAAGTTTGTAGAATCATCCACACTTTCCTCTTCATTTTATCATTTCTGTGTGTGTGTGTGTGTGTGTGTGTGTGTGTGTGTGTGTGACTACTTTCTTAGACCAACAACATCTCATTTGTTATTTACTGGTAACTCAAACAGCAACACAGAAATCAAATTCAACGTGGTATGGGATTTAGAATCAAGCTTTGAAGAATTTTCAACTTAATTCTTGAAATAGGATAAATGTGTCTTTGTTTTACAATTTAAAAACATAATTTAAGCTTTTAATGTACATTAATATACCTATGCAAAGATTTTTTTCTAAAAATAAATTGTATGTCTTGAATTGCATTCACCATATTTCTGCTTGATTTATTTAATAAGGTGGGCTAATCTAGATATAAGGGTAAAGTTAGAAGTGGCTTCATTCTGGTCAGATCCCAAAGCTGCATCTATAAAGTAAACTGGATTTTTTCCCCAAAAAAGGACTCAACTGGATTGGAGCATATTTTATGACACCTGCTTTACCATAGCATCTTAATTAAATAAAATTGCCAGCATCTGCCCAACAAATAATTGAAAAAAAGAGTGAATTTTCTTATTTTGCAAAAGATATAATTTTAGGCAAAGCTATGTATTTTCACAGGTGGTGATTCATACTTTCCTCCTTTCACCAAATGAGAAGATTTTGCTAAATATCTTTAGGGTTATTTTAAATTAGTCACTAAAATTCAGAGAATGTTATAAAAGGTTCAGTTTGTAAAACACACAATTTTTAGGGAATATTTTGAATTTTTCCTACTAATTTTATTCATTAAAATCCAAGTGGAAAGATAAAACTGTGTTCGGCCATGACAGCTACTGGCCATTGGCCTACTGAAGTAGAGGCTGTGTACATGTGAGTTTTTGTCTACAATTCGTCACAAATACACATATATTTCCCCCTCTCTCTCTCACTCTTGGGGGTAAGGATACAGGAAGAAACTCTAAGATCATTTCAAATAAAGGGAATAAAAGCTAAATGTGGAAAAACTGGTTCCAGTTAGCAGCCAATTATTAATATTTTTAAAAAAATAAGCAGTTATTACATATAGATTCTTTTTAAAAATCATCAGTGACTAGTTAAAAATCTATTTGTAGATAAAATTCTCACTCTTGAAGTTTCTTTATACTCTAGGATCTGTATTTTCTCTTTCTCATTCTTATTTTAATTTTCTTCAACCTCAAGGCATTGTGTTTTATCAACTGTCTTTCTGAGTTAAGATGTGGATTGCTTTAAAAGTAGACGTTTTGATTTTCTGGATTTTACTTTTCAAGTGGGTTTGGAAGTACTAATAACCCTGGAGATGTTACTTAGCTTTCCAACTTTTAATCTTCAGTATAAACAATTTAAGCTAAGTTTTCCAAAATTAATATTAATTTAAACCATCTGTCCACCATCTGCTAATGTGAGATGCAAAACCAGAGTTTCTTTGTAATCTTTAATCAGACAGTTAGGAAAACACATATACATTCATAAAATGAATTTAAATTTCTTAACAAAGGAAATCTGAAAAGTTATTCTGAAGGCCATGTATTCTTGGAGCGAAATTAACTTTTGCTCCAGTGTGATTTTATGTAAATGAATACCAAGTGTCGATAGGCAAGTTGCCTAGTTTACCAAGATCACAAGGTGGAAACAATATCCATTGCCATGTTTTCAAAAGAGAAAAGAATGCTGTCAGTAGTTGATATGAAATATTGATTTAAAGAATTTCAGAGTTTGCACTTGTCTTAAATAGAAATGTCAAAATGGGGCTCACTTCTGCAAAAATATAAATATATATAATATGTAATATTATATATAATATATAACATGTAACATATATAATCATCTTTTTTGAGCAGTAAATTTGAAATGGGGTCAAAATTTTTAATGTCTTCTTTGCCACTAATTTTATTCTCTTCCCTTTTCAGAGCTGACTGGGTCTTAAGATATTTACTCTAGCATTCCTATATAACCTGCACATATCCTTTACTAACTCAACAGCCTTTTCACTTCTTCCAAAATTACTTCTTATAGGAAGGTGGAGCTGCATGATGCATTAAGTGTAAAAAAATTAAATCATTCACCCTGATTAAGGTCTTATATACAAAAAGTTTGACATCTTGATCATTATAAATTAAATTTTGATGTTTTCATCTCAGGTATTTGGTGCTATACAGAGACAACACTCATGGGAATTCAGATCAACTATTTGAGCATTTAGATTTAGACATGTCTTGTCAACAAATAGGAGATGAATTTGGTTTTAAAGAGATTTTCCATGATTATAAGCTTTTAATTTTCATGCTTAGTTTGTTCTTCAGTAGAATTTTTTAGAAAATCAAGCTGAAAATATTAGTTGGAAAGTAGAATATGAACCAACTTTTTATTTTATGAGGATGACCACATTACATACTCCCCCTCTTATTAGGGAGATTTCTCTAGCTGTTGACAATGATGTACAGTGGTGCTTCGCTGGGGTGACATCTAGGGAAAACAACTCTGCTGCACCACCACACAAAATCAATTAGAGAACTATTTTCTGCGACAGGTCACGAATTTACGTGGTTTCTCATGAAAAGATGTACCTTTTAATTTCTTTATTAAGATGACATCCGTGTCCTTTGAGACTTTTGGGGATGACAATCATTTGTTCATCATGCAAGAACATACACTAACTGAAACTACATTATGGGACAAGGGTGGAAGATTCTGGTCCTCATTTCACATTTTCCAAAGGAGCTATTTGCAAACTGATCATTAGAACCATAGACATTACAGGATTTCCTGACAGGAATCTCTTCAAGCTCTAGTAAGAAGCCAAAGGGAATAGGCAGTACATATTTAACCTGTGTTTGCGTGCTGTTGAGTTCAAAGACACTGCCATTGGCAAATTATCTGGACATCAGAAATTCAACAAGGTTTCTGGGTGTCTAAGATTAAAATATCATATATCAGCAGAAATTGGCTGATGTATGAACAGTGAATAAAATTCATTGCCACAAGTTTCTGCTTAATCAGCTTAGATTATTTTTGTATAATGTATTAAAAGGGAAAACTGAAAAGTTCGATAATTTGTTATATCTACTCATTAAAACATAAAGTTTAATTTTTAAAGTAAGAGTAACTTATTTTTAAAGTGAAGAATAGAATTTTGTTATTATGAAGGCAAAAGCTCACTTAGAATAAGAAGCACCAGCTATGGCCTTTATTGTATTATAGGAAGTATTTCAACAGCTCGAAAGTATTGGGAATATCCTCATCAAATATTTGTTATGGATCAATCAGTGCTGAACTCTGGTCTAAATGTTGGCAATAGAGGAGCTAAAGAATAATGAAGGGAAACAGACAAATGAATTAGCAATAAATTCACAATTTATTCAATGCCATGACAGTGTGATATTGAGTAATGGGAGCCTGTAGAAGAGGCATCAAACATAAACTAGGAGAAGAGATGGTCAGTGAGGCTTTTGGGAGGAAGTGATATGTAACTATAGCCTCAAAAGATGAATCTGTGTCAGCCATCTTTTTAGGGTGACTCACAAAGAGCACTCAGGCAGAAAAAACAGTAAGAGAAAACACAAGCACAAAGGGAATGGCGTGTGAGAGGGAAATTTCAAATAATTTGGTGCACTTGATAATGCATTAAGCACAAGGCAAGCAGCAGCAAGAGAGTAGGCCAGAGATGGAGGAGCCCAGATCTTAGAGAGTGTTGTGAGGATGACATTATACACTACAATTGCTCTAAGATACATGATTTTTTTTTTCCATTTCAATTTTTCTGAAATCAGACTGTTGGAAGAGACTTGCCAGGCAAAGGAGTAACTTGTGAAGAAATGGATATTGCCTGTTCATGTGAGAACACAGCCATCCTGACAGTGTCATCCAGTTGGATCATTGTTTTTTCTCCCAATTACATTAAAACAGCGGCAGTGAAATGAAGTTGCCCTGTGCACAAAAGGTTGCTTCTGATACTCAACAAAGTAATTACAGTAAGAAGAAATTACCTAAACTCTTTAGGAATAGATCATAAAATTCCAAGGCTGGTTAGAGGAAGATATAAAAGGGATGAGAAAAGAAAGGGATGTAAGTAAAGATGATCCAGATAAGCAATATGCAGTCAGTGAAAGAATCAGAAGGTGTAATGTCAAGAGAGAGAAGGAATAGGGTGTTTTAAGAAGGAATGAGGGATCTGCATTGTCAAACCAAGTAGAGAGGTTTAGTCAGGTAAAGGTCCATAAATAGCCTCAGCAAGGCAGATGGTTGGTTCCAGGTAGGAGATCTCTAGGAGATAAAGCATGGTCAGCAAATGTAGGAAACTCTTGAAAAATTGGGATGCAAAAAAGGAAAAAAAGAAATGAAAGGTAACTAGGAGAATAGAGGAGAAGCATGGTTTTAAGCTACAAGTAGGACCCAAGAGAGAAAAAAAAATAAAGATATATGTGTGGGAGGAATAAATAATGAACACCAGTCCTGTGGAGGCAGGAAGTAAGGGTCATGGGGACAGGTAATGGATTTTCTTTTTTGTATATATTTTTTTGGTGTTTGATTTGCCAACATATAGCATAACACTCAGTGCTCATCCCGCCAAGTGCCCCCCTCAGTGCCCATCATCCAGTCACCCCAACCCCCAACCCACCTCCCCTTCCACCACCCTTGTTCGTTTCCCAGAGTTAGAAGTCTCTCATGTTCTGTCGCCCTCTCTGATATTTCCCACTCATTTTCTCTCCTTTCCCTTTTAATCCCTTTCGCTATTTTTTATATTCCCTGAATGAATGAGACCATATAATGGATTTTCTTAAATATTCTTTCAAATTGGAGAAAAGATAATGAAGACAGTTGTGAGACATAGGGCTATCTGGCAGATATGTGAGAGTCTGAGTGAGATCATACCCGATGCCTTCATTTTTCTTGAGAAGGAAAAGAAGGAGGGTGAACTGTGTTGCGAGAGCCCCGTGAGAGATGGGGACCTGGAACACAGCCTTTGCTGCCCTCCCAGCCAGAATGCTCAGGCAAAGAAGTGTAGATAATCTAGTCTGTAAAGATCAGACTTCTGGGACATAGGACTACAAAAGTGAGGCAAAAGTATAGCCAGTTCATTGATAAGCTGATATGGAAGATTGTGTGCAAAAATGGCCACAGCAAATTCTTTCTATCTCTCTACATGTGCTCCTTTGCAATGGGACTCTGCCATTCTTCCCAGGAAGTGGTGGAGTGTATTTCCTTACCCTTGAGTTGGGACTGGCCTGTGACCATTCTGACTAATAATAAAATGTGGTATAAAGTGAGGTTCGTATATCTCAACCTAGGCCTCAAGAGGCTTTGCAGCCTTTCCTCTCACCCACCTAAAATACTAGCTGCCATGTAAGGGCATCTTCTTGAGAATGAAGCATAATGTGTAAAAGGAGGCCTAGCCAGATGACTCAAGTGAAAAAGTGACTGGGGCAAGACTGTTGCTTTAAGTTGGGACAGGTATGTCATGCAGCAATAGATAGCAGATACAGCTGGACAACATGGGCCTTAAATGAGGATGAGCGAAGAACATTCCAACTTTTCCTCTTAGCCCTAAGATGTTGGGATGTTTAATGATTTTTTTTTAAGATTTTATTTATTTATTCATGAGAGACAGAAAGAGAGAGGCAGAGACACAGGCAGAGGGAGAAGCAGGCACCATGCAGGGAGCCCGATGTGAGAACTGATCCCAGGACTCCAGGATCAAGCCCTGTGCCAAAGGCAGGCGCTAAACCGCTGAGCCACACAGGGATCCCGGGATGTTTAATGATCTTGCTGCAGTTTTCTTTTTTCTTTTGTAAGCATTTTATTCATGTTAGAAGCATAACATAACAAACTTTTTAAAGTTAAAAATACATTCTACCAACAGTGGTTGCTAGGGGTTTTGGTTGGGGGGGTAAGTGGCACAAATATTTAGAAAACAGAGAATTTTTAGGACAGTTAAACTGTTCTCTTTTTTTTTTTTTTAAATATTTTATTTATTTATTTATGAGAGACAGAGAGAGAGGGAGAGAGAGAGAGGCAGAGACACAGGCTGAGGGAGAAGCAGGCTCCATGCACCGGGAGCCCGACGTGGGATTCGATCCCGAGTCTCCAGGATCACGCCCTGGGCCAAAGGCAGGCGCCAAACCGCTGCGCCACCCAGGGATCCCTTAAACTATTCTCAAAGATAGTGAATAATATCCATTGAATGACGGCTCCATGACACGCATTTGTCAAAATTCAAAGAACTGTACAACACAAAGAAAGGACCTTAATGTAAACCACAGACTTTTAATAATGTATCAACATTGGCTCATCAGCTGTAACAAATTATAGGATATAATACATTAGGATATAACAGGGAAAATTATGATTGAGGGAAATAGGATATATGGGAAATCTCAGACTTGATCAATTTTCTTTAAACCTAAAACTGCTCTACAAAATGAAGTCTGTTAATACATTCTAGGTTTTTTATTCTTTTAACCATTCTTATATCCAATCCAAGCAAACCAAACCAAAATCTCAGGTGATGGCAGGAGAGTAGGGTTCCCTAAGATACTCTCAAGATTTTCATAATTCATTTTTAATGTGAAAATTACTGTACTCGAAAACAGTTTTCTTTTGTATTAACCTACAAACAAAACAATAATATAAATATTTCATATTTTGCCTATATAAAATGTAATAACTTAAAGAATAATTGAGAGCTTATGATTTATGGAAGGTACTTATAGAAGTGCTGCTTACCTCCAGCGAAAAGAGTGAAAGTGTCACCATGTTGCTTTTGAAGAGTTCTCAGGAAACCTAAAGGATCCTTTTGTAATTTCAGAGCCTCTCCAAGGTAAGGTAGCCAGCCTTTTATCAATGGAGGCTCACCAGGTCTCCTAAAAAGCAAACAAAAACAAGAAAAAATTAAGTCCTTCCTTATTTTAATACACATGTATTATTAATCCAGTCTCTAAGTGAATGGATGAAATGCACGGTTTTTTCAATTCTTTTATTTAATGATTGTTATATAATCATAGACATGGACTTATTGAGCTCCACCAGTATGTGTGACTTTGGGTAGACGGTTCAATTCACAGCTTTTGGTGAGCAACATTTTTGAGAAATTTTATCTTGTAAGACCCAAATGGCTGGCTGAAATGACAGCTACATTCAGTAAACATTTTATGTATGAGAGCTCTTGCTGTGCTGCTCTGAGTGTTAGATGTCAGGTAGTTTACTTGCCAAAGTAAAGCTCTTTGTTATCAGATGTCACTTTAGACTGGAATTATATAATTAGAAGAGGGGCAGTTAATAATCTTGAAAAATCTTTTATGCTGTTGAGAATAAAAAGCTCAACACTATTTCCATGAAGCATATCTTGTTATATTCTTTTATAGAGTTTTTATTCAAACTACAATGAATAGGAATATTCGCTAATTTTTATAAGACATATGAAACATTCAATGAAACACTGAAATACTGTGAATTAAAAAACAAGTCTCTTTTTGACCTATAATCTTAGCAAAACTGCACTCCAAAATTTCTTCTTCTTCATTTATTTGGTGTACTCAATCTGATTTAAAGTTAAAAAAAATCCAAAGCCATTTTATCCTAGAAGGGATTAAAACAAATATTCAGGAGAACTCTGATGATTCTCTAGCCCATCTGTGAAGATGACTTACACTATAGGCAGTACAACCCATTCTGATTAATCACAAGATATTACTAGCTCAGACCTAATCAAAGATCAAGATTATGATCATACTCAACATGGATTTTTATGTAGCTAGATTAACCCTATCAAAAGCTTTAATTTCCCCACAACCCAACATGGTTGGGTTAAAAAATAAAAAATAAACATCAGATCTTTCAGGGGAAAAAAAAAGAACACAAACTAAACCTAAGGTTTGATAGGAATGAAGGAAATGGGTATCAAAACTCTCCTTTCTGTTTTTAGAAGACAACTGATTTTTATGCTAATTTACAAAATATGTGCTGTCATTTAAATCTATGTACTTAGAAATAAGACAAAAAAAAAAGAAAAAGAAAGAAATAGGAAGACTAGAAACACTACATAAAAATGTATATCTTGTGCATCATCCCTTTCCCTGCTATTTTATTAAATGCTAGCTTTACCAATGGAGACTTGCATTTTATGAACATGAAAGTAATATAAAAGTGTATCAAAAAGTATAGTAACAGTTAACTCTGTATCCAAAGATTAAACCAGACAACATATATGATTGTAGAGTAGGATCTCCAAGTCAGAAATTCCCATAGCATGCAGGGTATCAATCAATGGCTTTCAAAATTTGCAAGTGATCTTAGTTCACAAAATTTCCTTTCAAAATATTAACTCTCTTTCATGGTCTATTTTTATGCTATTTTGTTTAATGTTGCTTGAATGTTGCATTGTGACAAAGATTTTGAAAGGCTTTTTGTCATATCATAATTTAATGCAACTAATTTCATCCTCTATGCTCTGTCATTTGGTCAAAAGCTGTATTCTTCATGGATTTCCGTGGGGGGGGGGGCAAGGGAAGGATGGAATTCAGAAATCCAGAGGAATATTAAGTTAATGTTCAGGGTTAGAGAAACACATTAGGAAGCCATTTTATTGTTACAAAGACGAGAGGATCATCGTTTCTTACAGCTGTGTTCATTTTGGCAGCAATGAGCTTAAAACTATAAAACACAATGTCACAACTGTGTATTTTCAGGAAAAAATATAATGTTAGTTCTATGACTCATCGAAGATAGGCAACAGAAATCTGTCTTCATCAGTATTTTGTAAAAATTATTTAGAGAGGAAAGACATCACCATAATGGTCCAGAAAGACCTGCTGACATATAGCAAGTACAACTACTGTTATTTGTCTCTCTCATGCTCCCACACTCCCGCTTAACCCCACCCACTCCAACAGTATATACTTCCTCAAACATCCTCTTTACTATTGAGGTAGGACACTAGAAGGAAATGTCTTATAAGTTATACAAATTAGAAGTACAAAGATTTTCAATGATTAAATCCAAGTTCTATGCATAAACAACTATCACCACTTGCAACTTCTTCTATACAAATAGTGGGATACATCTTGAAGTTTATGAAAAATGTCAAGTACAGTCTAAATTTATCTGGAAGCAAATAGTGGAGAAGAGTCTAAATACATAAAATGGCAATGAAACATAAAAGATGTTTAGACATTTTCCTTTGGTTAAAAAGAAGCACATAAAATTTAAAGAGGTGAACCAACACAGTATACTTCAATTTTGATAATAGCTGCAGTTTGTCTTTATGCTAATCTTTAGTTAAATAAATAGGTAATAGGTTTGGTGAGTGGCCTATCATACGTTGTTCCCTTAGACATTTTAAGGACAGCACTTTACACAGCAATCTATATTTATCAAGAAATTTCTTCTAAAAAAAAAGAAATTTCTTCTATTCTACTTTTCCTGGGATCGTTCTTTTATTTATTTATTTATTTATTTATTTATTTATTTATTCATTCATTCATTCATTTATTTATTTATTTTTCCTGGGATCGTTCTATGCTAGGAATCCGAGTTATTGTAACAACCCTTTAAGTAAGTGGTTGCTCAACCTTTACACATGGTTGCTCAACTTTTACACATGTACCCCAATTCAGGAAAAAAATTATGCATTGATTAAGTTTCTGAAGACATAAAATATTTGTATTAGGTCATCTGATATCTATAACAATGCCTTAATAATTAAAAAATTTTTCCTAATTAATATTTTCTTTTGCACGTATTGTTAAAATTTCAGAAGCTACACAACTGATGCGCATTGCAGTATCTGATTATAATACCAACCTTTTGAACAAACTTTGGGTTGAGCAAAGAACTTTTGAAGCTGCTATTTTACCTTTCCTTAATTTAGAAGCTACTTAATTGGATAATATAATTTGGTTCATAGTGTCTCTTGCAACTGTACTTTTGAATCATCCTCTATTTTTCTACCCTTCCTGGTCTTCAATGCAGGCATGAGGATGCTAAATATGTTCCCATAAGGCTGGATAATTGAGAATCAATATGTTTTTCAGGGTACCGGGGAGAAGGGGCTTCTTTGCAGGATTGAGATGGAAGATCCAAAAAAAGGAGGAGCGAGTAGAAGGCACTGCAGTGTGCTGGCATATCTGAAGCCTCTGTGAGAGTTTACATGGGGCCAACGAAACACAGAATCACATGCATTGCCTGGAAGCTAGGTGGGGGTTACCAAGTGGAGGCACTTGAGAAGGGGATGCAAAGTTGGAGGATCACACTCAAAGTCCTAGCCAGGAGGCATGCTGGGAAGCCAAAGATGACCACACAAACATCAGTACAACAAGACTCTCCAGGTCAACAGAAAAGAAGGGGAAGGGAGAACCCTAAATCTCATTTAATATGCAGATAAAGGATAACAAGTTTTAAACTCAAAGTGACTGGAACTACTTTTCACTAGAAATAGGGTTTTCTGCCATCAGCAGAAATAGGGGTTCATAAGAAATTTGAATTCAGTTACAGAAAATTACATTTGTGCATATCTAATACTGAGAAGTTTTAAATCCAGTATACAAGCTATGTAGACATGCAGTTGTTGTTTTGACTTGAAAATAAGAATGATAGTATCAACCTTATCGGTTTACCATTCTGATTGGGAGACAGTATTTGAAAATAGCTGATATACAGAGCAGGATTAATTTTTCCGGCTACTCATATGCTGGAAGCAGTTGCACATAAGTGGTTTTGCTCTCCTATTCTCCGTATGAACTGTTTTGTCAACCTACCCTGCTAACTAAAGGAGCTTGGAAGGCATCACTCCCATCTTCACCACAAGAAAAAAGCTGAAGAAACTGAATATCAACAACTCCTCTTAGATTCATTGGAAAATTGATGCCACAGGGCGTAAACCACTGCCCTGAAAGCTACAGAGACAGGTGAATACAGAAGATCATAGTTTACTGGGAGCAGAAGCTGCTTCTACAGCCTTCGAGAGACACTGAAAAGGTAATTGACTCATTCCTGGAGCCTAAGCAAGAACTAACTTGTGATATAAAATCTAAGACCCAGCCTTATGAGAGCCTCTGCAGTGTTTACACAAGGAGAAATAGATAATCTCAATTAGTATGCATCTAGGAAATAAATAGGGTCAATAATTTATAATTCTCCAAAGGAGAAGGTAGCAGTTCTAGATCTCATTGGTGAATTTTATCAAACAGTTAAGGAAAAAATACTACCAATTCTCTATAATCTCTTCAAGAAAATATAAGCAGAGAAAAGACTTCCTAACTCATTCTATGAGGTTAGCATTACCCTAATACTAAAGTAGACAAAAACATCACAAAAAGGAAAATTATAGATCAATAAACATAACATAGATGTGAAAATCTTCAATAAAATAATAGTAAATTGAACTCAACAGTGTATAGAAAGAATTATATATGAGAAGCAAGTGAAATTTATTCCAGATATGTAAGGCTGTTTCAATGTTCAAAAATCAATGAATGTAATTAATGTAATCCATTACCTCAAAGGGATAAAGAAGAAAAATATGACCAGATCAATAGTTACAGAAACATCATTTAATAAAATCTAACACGTATTCATGATAAAACTCTCAGAAAACTAGGATTAGAGGAAACTTCCTCAACTTGATATAGAACATCTACAAAAAACCTTACGGCTAACATCATACGTATTAGTGAGAAACTAGAAATCCGAAATAAGGCAAAGATGCCCTTCTCACCACTCCTATTTGACATTATACTGGAAGTCCTAGCTAATGCAGTAAGACAAGAAAAAGAAATAAAAGGCATACAGATTGAGAAGAATTAAAACTGTTCTTATTGCAGATGACATGACTGTCTATAAAAAAGTTTCAAAGAATCAACAAAAA